TTGAATGCTTTGGAGATATAGACGGACTAATAATAAAGGATTACTCAAACATGTGTGAATAAACCACAACTCCAGGTCTGTTTTTTGATGTGGTAACAACACTTATAACATTTCTTAAAGCTCACGAGAGTCAGTTTTGTGTAATATTGGACCTATTTAAAGCAACAGCAGCACTGTAACTTTCTGGAGGTTGCACATCGGATGTATGATTTCATGGAAACGGAAAGTTAAAACCATACTTGGGAACCTTTCCCTCCTCTCTCCTCAGGTTTGGTATCCACCCTGTGGCAGGCCGTATGCCCGGGCAGCTCAATGTGCTCCTGGCCGAGGCTGGAGTCCCGTACGACGTGGTGCTGGAGATGGACGAGATCAATGAAGATTTCCCAGGTGAAAACTAAGGCTGGGTATCATTAATAAGTTGCCGATATGATACCCAACTCGATACATAGGTCGCGATACGATACAGAGCTCAATAAATAAATACGATATAGTTCAAATCTAGTCGATACAATTCCGTAAAAAATAAAGCCTAACTCATGGCTGTGATACTAAGTCTTTGTTAAACCACTTCATGTGTAAAGTTCATATGAAATGCAAACATTTTAATCAATTTTAACTGTGAAAATGTCAAATTTGTTGCATAAAAAGTTTCCTTCCTTCGAACAAGCAACAAAACTGTAGTACTGTAACAAAGTAATTTAGTAAAATATACCAAAAAAATGCTTTTGGCGATATCGATACTGTATCATCACTTATTATATCATTAAACGATACAATATATTGATATTTCGATATTTTTGCACACCCCTATTGAAAACTGTTGACATTCGAGTTTGAACTCCTGAAGTTTAATTTGTGAGAAGAAACTTTGCAATTTTAAATTCTGTCTTAATGCCAACAACAAGAATCTATTGTGGCAATTTTCAATTTTCATACTGACAAGTTTAATTTAGTTGTATCCTGGGCTGTTCAACATAAGTGATAATTGTATGAATTTTCGTATTCACCTTAATCTCGAAGTAACCATGGACCCCGCCATCCTCATTCAGGGTTGTATTGTTTTGCATGGGGCTGTTGATCCTAACGGCGAATAAGGTTCATACAGATTATAAAGCAGTTTTAAAGACCCCCGGAGAATCAGAGCCGTGCTGACTTATTGATGGACGTGAAAATTTAACATTTTACACAAATGAACATACTTTGTCATATTTAATTGGCAAAACCTTTCTCAAATTCTCCATTTACATGAATGAGATTCCCGTTTTAACCACAAGCGCCACCACAAGAAAGTGTGGTTTAGGAGTATTTAGAGACAAAATAGACGGGGTGGAATAAGGTAAATAGAGCAGTAATCCCCAATATACTGTAGGTGTCAGGGTCTAAATGTGGCTTTCCAAAGATTCTCTGTATCCCTGGGGCTTTCTAAAACCGAGATTCAGACTAGGTGGGTCTAATTACCTCTAATAACTTGACAAACTGTCTTATAGAACATTCATAATGATATGGTTATGTAGAAATGCATTTTTAGGGGTCTGCCAGTTTATCACAGTGTATTTCATGGCATTTAAACATTTGATTATTTATATTTTATATATTCTAAACCTCTTTTTCAGATGTATTAGTTAAGTATAGTGACATGAAGTTGCTGAACATTTTATATCATTTTATTTATATTTTTAAGAATATTTTACCCTCCAGTTGTTCTGTTGTATAAAAAGCTTTTGATTATTTGGCCAAAATCTGTTCTGGTAAACTGAAAATAATACAATCAAATATTCAACTTTTTCCCTTTTGTACTGGAGACACCTGGCAGCCCTTTTGTCCACACATGGTTTAGTTTACACAGCTTCAGATAAATGTGGTGTTGGAATTTAATGTGAATATTATTACCACAGCTGTGAGGTAATAAAATATTGGTCGAGCCATTTTGTTTAATGTTTTTTGTTTTGTTTTTTTCCCCACAGAGACTGACTTGACGCTTGTGATCGGAGCGAATGACACAGTGAACTCCGCTGCCCAGGAAGACCCCAACTCCATAATCGCTGGTATGCCCGTCCTGGAGGTGTGGAAGTCTAAGCAGGTTTGTAAAAGATTTATTTAGTACAATATTATTTCCATCTTGGCCTGTTTCTTACTCAGACCTGTTGCTCGTTGAAAATGTTGGATTTGTGGAGTAAACTTTAACGTAATCCTCAAATAAGACCGAACATCCAAAGTATTGTTCAATTGCAGGTGTTTTATAGCTCAAAAATACCTTTTAAAAACATTAATTCTTACAGAGTGCAAGGGCCAAAATGTGTTGTCTGAACACAGTGTTGGGAAGGTTACTTTTAAAATGTATTCCCCTACAGATTACAGATTACATACCCCAAAATGTAGTTTGTAACGTAATCCATTAAATTACTTAAAGTGAGTAACGTAATCTGATTATTTTGGATTACTTGATATTGTCATGCTTTTTAAAACTACATGAATGTAACAACCACATCCTGAAAATTCTTGTTTGTTCTTTTCAAATTGTCTGTTGAGCCAAAGTCTCCATGAACAGGTTTGTTGTAGAAAAGCAAAGACTAGGAAATCTGAACATAAGAAGTTTTGTCTGTTAAAAGATAATAAAAAGTCCAGTCTTTCCTTGAACAGATTAAAAATATTATTGATAGAGAAATGCTTTTTATATGAGATCACTGCTGCCTTTTAGTCCTAGTTTAGTCTTGGTTTTAGTCCTGGTGTTAGTTCTGGTTTAGAGGTGCACAGGAGGAAGCGTGGTTACGAAGTGATGTTTGAATTTCGAAGACATGAATACATTTTTTCCTGTGCACTGGTGGCTCCATTCTACTGGCTCCTCAACCTCGTCCATTGAGTGACCGACGCCACAAACGTTAACAAAACGTTTACACAGCTCTTTTTGTGCTTGTTCTGTTTGGGTTTCCGGCAATGAGTGGAATTACCAAAGTAATAATTTTAAAAAATGGGATATAGCCCAGCTCAAAACAGGAAAATCCTGCCGTGTAATCCATTATTTTATCAAAGTAACTGTAATCCAATTACCACTCACTGAAACAGTAACTGTAACTGAATACAGTTACTCATAATTTGTACTCTGATTATGTTATCCCGGTACATGTAACCTGTTACTCCCCAACACTGTCTGAACAGCAATCGCACTGTATTTCTATTATCTTAACCTCTTTTAAACTTTATTCCAGGTGATTGTGATGAAGCGTACTCTGGGTGTGGGCTACGCTGCCGTGGACAACCCCATCTTCTACAAACCCAACACCTCCATGCTCCTCGGAGATGCCAAGAAAACATGTGACAACCTCCAGGCCAAGATCAGAGAAGTCTACTATTAAAAACAGAACGCAATCCCCACTTGTGATCAATATTAAAGGAAATTTGATTAGTGAACGAAGGACTTTGGTTTGATATAAATATGAAGTTCACCTAGTAAGGTTATTTTTAAAATGACTGCATAATGTGTAAGAATTTGTAAATAAAATATATTTAAATGTACAATCACTAAGATTGTTCTTTCACTGAGTGTCCTGTGTCTCAATCTTTTTTTTTTTTTTTTTTTAAGTTTCGCAATTTGCTGTACCAACTTGGCTACCAACTGTATTTTTGTCTAGGGCTTATTTTAGTAGTCAAGGCAGCAGTATTTTTTTTCTGATTAGTCAAACCATTATTTCTATTGTTCGTTTAGATTTTCAAAACATTTTTTAACCATATAAAGCTTAAAATATGGTGGTGACTAGAGAGTTTTAAATGGACTACATAAAATTGTGTTAGATTATGGAACTTAAAATCATTATCTGGACTATTCAGCCTCAAACATACAAAAAGACCTTTTAATTATTCACAGCATTATTAAATCAAAATGTCAAAGAATAAACATTTAGGATTATCCAAATACATATATATTAAAAAAAAAAGTATAATCGTCTAGTTTTGAGTTGATTATTTGTCCCAGTCCCATTATTGGCAACCATACACTTACGTTTTCCACCATTTATCATTGTTCAGTCCATTAGCAGCAAGTTTATGTTGAAAATATTTCCAATTTGGCAAAGTGCAGCACAATCTTGTACAAGTTAAACAAAATTTAAATGTTGATTTCCATTTATTTTAATACCTCAATTAGGCCTACCACGATAAATACTAATGACTAATCAATAAAAAATGAGATGAAAACCATTTTGGGCTCAGCATTTGATTTCTTAACGAGCATTTTGAGCCTTGTAAATGTAGGCAGATCGATAATATAGCGTTACTCAAACGTGAATGAAACAAAACGTGTTTTAGTGGAGGAAACATTCTAACATGGCTTAAAGCTCACATGGTGCAATTTAGAGCTAATTTTTTTTTATTTCAAGTCATATCAATACTCCTACAAGTACACCATCTTGTAAAGTGCTTTGTATGTTGCAGTTTATGTCACAATACTTGTACTTCATTCAGAAAGTGACAGATTTCACTGTTGACGTATGGTGCCAATAACAAACCTAATTGCAAAAATGTAAAATAGTAACAGCTCTACTTAAAAATTATCATTGTAATCATAATAGTACTAGTACATTGCAAAACTAAATATAATCATTAAAGACCTGACCCCAGTGCATTTTAATTTATTGTAAATAACTGAACAACTATCATACATATAATTAAAACTAGGTCTGCACAATGTATAATAAAAATGAAAATATCAATACCACAACATTGGTTTATGCAATAATCAATATCGCAAGAAAAAAAATTCTAACAAAAGTTCTTCATTTTACAAAAGTGTTTTTGCAAAGTAAAATGGACAAAGATTTTATTCAAGATTTTCATTAAGACTTGAGCTGGTCTTTGTTTAGTCTCTCAATTATTTTTTGGACCTATTTTGACTAATAAATTAAGGTGCATTTGTGCTTTATTTTAATTTTTTTTGCTTTAATTTAACTGAACTGCGAAAAAATTAATCTATCTTACTCTTATTCTTACATCTTATTCTCATATCATGCAGCGCTATTACAAATGATTATGAAACTTAAAGATAATTGTAATGATGGCAATATATCACAGTACTAAATTAAATCATGACAGGCCTAACCCAAGTGCATCGTACTGTACTGTATGATAGTTTGCAGCACACATCAACATTCCCTGGGGCTGTGATGCTAACTGTAGGCTCTGCTCTGTCTGAGGCTTGTTAGAGCTTTAATATGATCTTTATTTTAACACAATCTGACCAGAAGGAGCTGACTTATTTGGAACTACAACAGGTGAGCTGATTTGTGCAGTAAAAACAAGTTTCTCTCAAAAGCAGAGGGACCACGAACAAGACCATGAAGGCTCGTATTGATCACAGGGTCATTAAAATTTGTTGTTTAAATCCATTCTGTATTTCACACTATTTTTAAACTTTTTTGGCAGTGTTTGTGAATCTGTGCATAGTGTCACCATGGCATAGGGTGACCAGATGTCCCTTTTTACCTGGCACAGTCCTGGTTTTAAGCCCTGTGTCCCAGCAGATTCATCCAAAACCACAAATTTGTCTCAGTTTTTTACAAGAAATTTCCCTATTTTTGACCACTTTGTTACCTGCCAACAGTAAAGGGGCATAACTTCTCATTTGTTTTAGGTAAAATACAGAAAAATATGTTTAAATCATCAAAACACAGAGAATGTGACTATACTGACTCACATTTTAGTCATAAATGGGTCGAGTGCAAAACAATTTTCCTTAATTACGTGCTCGTTTCACAATTTTATTATTACCAACCACCACAAACCAAGAGTGTCCCAGTTTTTAATTTTGATTTACGTGCAACATTAAAGCAAAACTAAGTCACATTTTGCCCATTAAACATTGTAAGTCCCTGTGACCAAATTTGAGAAATCCATGTAGATCACCCAGTCAGCTGTAAATGAACAACTATCATGCATATAATTAAAACAAAAATGAAATGGCTGCTCAGTTCTCTAGCTCAAATAAATACTGAACTTTATTTTTTTCCTGCTGCAGTCTTGGCTTTGTTTATGACTGTGTGGAGATACGAATAGAAGAACAATATGTTGTCATATTCTCCGCTGTAAACCCGGTCCAGGCAAAGTTCATGGAAGTCTTTGAGGAAATAGTAGATAGCTTCGATGGTGGCGAGGTAAGTGTCCGGTTTGCCCTTTTGGTGGCGCCAAAAACACGTTTTTCTTGTTTTCAGCTCCACTTGCAGCAAATCTGAAGAGAGGAAAAAAGGTTTAGATAATGTTGGATGTTGGACAGAGATGATAAATACAATTAAAGGGAACTAAAAACAGAACTAATTGAGTTTTGAAATTGCGTCAAAGAACAGAAAGTACTCATTATGCAGTTCATTATGTGGTTTTCGCTCAAAACGAGATCCAAAATGTCAGAAGGAACTAATGCTTTTTAGATTTTCATTATAGTAAAAGTGTACGTTTAATTCACAGAGCTTAAATGTTTAATATTTTAATCATTACAATTTACTTTAGTTTAAAAGATGAGTGTACGATGTAATCTATTTTGCTCGTCTCCATGGAGATGCTCAACCATACGGAATTAAACGTATCTATTCCAATACAAGTGTTTAATTCCTAGGGAAAAAAAAAACTTAATATACTGGCTTTCCTTTACGTATAGCTGACAAAGCTGACAAATCTGGTAATGTCACCTTCTTGCCACCATGGAGATGGATAAGTTTAATGCCATGCTGTGGAACATTCCAGGTAAAATCTCCACGGTGACGAGCAGGTACCAACATATTTTGGTTAATAAGTACAATTTGATTTTGATTTTGAGCACCAGATACCAAATATGTACATGTACATATCCTTGTTTTTTTTTTTGTTATAGTTGTTGATTTTGTTTTACCTTGCTCAAACAAATAAAATTAATGAATGAATGATTACAATTTGTGGCTAGGTCCTATCCAAAACTGAGTCTTGTGAGCTTTAAACCAGGTTAGAATGCTGTTACTTCAACAAAAACATACTCTGAGTTGTGTTTTGTTTCATTTTCACATGTTTGAGTAATCCTTTATTAGCCTGTACACGTCTCCAAAGCTCAAAATGCTCTGTTCTACCTAGTTTTCAAGTTAGCACCTACCTTTTACTTTTAGTTCAAAGTTCAAAGTTAGCGTTATTGTCAATTTATTCACATGTTCTAGACTTACAAAGAAACTGAAATTACGTTTCTCTCTATCCCATGCGACACAACAAACAGCATCATCTCTAACCACTAAAGTAACCATAGATAAATAAATTAAGCTAAAAACAATAGTGTACAGTACAATGCAGTTCAAGTCAGATCAAGTATTAGCAGCAGTAATAAAAGTTCAGTAGAGATCGACAATTTCACGACTGAAATCATCCAAATGATTCTAGTGAAGGTGTAGAGCTTAAAAACACAGAGGAGCACAGGAGAGGGTTGTTTACTATTTGAGAGAACAACTCAGCGTAAATATGCAGGATTTGTGTGTTAAACATGTGTGAATGAAACAAAACAGAACTCCAGGTTGATGAGAAAACAACATCATAACATATAGATCAGAAAATAGAGTAATATTGACCCTTTAACCTGTTCTCCACACTCCCTTCAGTTGTTCATAATCAACTTAATGACTCATAATTGACGTGTACCTTGCAGTCTTTCATCCGTGCTGATCTTGTTTGTCTGGTTCCATGTGCTGTCAATGAAGACCACCTTTTGGAGGGGCAGGGCCTTGCACTCCACGCCCTCTCCCCCCTCCTTTCCCCTCTGCTCTGCCCCCTCTCCCTCTTCGTGTGTGGGACAATCAGACAAAGTTGCACCCCTAAACCTCTTCCTTTTGGGTTCACAGGGGTCTTGGGCGCGTTCGGTCAAACTCTGGATCATGTTTTGCACTGTGACAGCCTTAGGTCCGGGGAATACGAGTACCACCTGGAGAGAGACAGATTATGTAATGTTATTTGGCGTGACTTTAGACATGAACTGACAAAGAGGGATGCGTCTGGTCTATACACAGAAAAGATGAAAGTGGTGTTGGAGAAACCTTACTGAGACATATCACGCACAAAATTTGAGATGATTCGAAACAAATTTGAAAATGTGAAAAAAGATACACGGTTTGAGTTTGAACGTCTACAAAAGGTTATCTGAACTTGATAAAGAAAAAAAATAATCCATCAAATCCATCAATTTTAATAAGTTTAGACTGAACTTACTTGACATCAAAAAATGGAAAATGATGTGAAAAGCTACAAATTGTTAAATGCTGATTTATAATTCATAGACAGATTTTTAGTTCTTCTGTCTAATGCACTCGACCACTCAGCAGCAAGTTTGCAGTGAAACAGCGTCAAAGTGCGTAAATCATAGACTGTACACATAAACAGACATAGCTAACCCGCTTGCTGCAGGAAGTGAACATGGGGGGCGCTTCCGGCTCCATCGAAGTCCTTCTCTCCCTAACTGCTGCTGTCATTCGTCTCACTTTGGTCTTAAAATGTTCGTATTAACCCGTTGTACATGATCCTAGTAGTTTTAATTTGTCATATTGTCTGTAAGTCATTTCCTCTCTCTATTATGGAACTAGGCTCCATATTTGTCCCCATAGCCTCAGTGAGCTTCATTTGACTGGAGCTGAACACAGTGGGTGATGTCACACTCCCATAGTCCACTTCTTTATATAGAATAAACTAGGGTGACAGCTCTTGGGGTGTCCTGAATTGTGTTATCTAAAGATACGTTCAGACTGCAGGGCTTAATGCTCAATTCGGAATTTTTTTGTGAAATACGATTTTTTCCCCGGGGTCGTTCACATTTCCAATTAAATGCCACTTGTATGTCATCTCCAATGCGAACTTTAAACACCCCAAAAGTGTCCCACATGCCCATTGGAGAACACGACGATGTCACACACAGCGAGTGTGCTCAGTGTTAACGGAAGTAGCCTAAAAGCTGGGCTTGTCTCCCAAAATATGGTCCAGTTTTTCGTAAAATGAACAGGTTACACGTCCACGGCTGCTTTGTTTGTTTGAGTCTTTAGCCTCCTTGTATTTGGCTCTTTATTTTTTGTTGACATTGGAGGCAGGACTGCCTGTAGCCGCACTTGGACATTTCTTTGGCAATCACTTCAAAAACCGACCAGTTCTGATAAGACCCCTCCAATTTGGAATACAGAGATCCCCCCCTCAAATATTAATTAACTTGCTAACCTCACTTTCCTTCCATTGACTAGACTCCAAGTCTGACGTGTAGCTGGGATGAATGTGACCTGGCCGTTCAGACTTAAGTCGCAGGTCAAAAGATCGGATATGTATCGGTTTTAGGACCACATATCCAAGTGGCCTGGGTCACATTTGAAAAAATCCGATCAGGCTGCAGTCTGAACGTAGCCTAACTAAAGGCACACTATGTAACTTTTCAAGTGGTGGGTTCGTCACTTTGTGGTGGGCAATAAAGTAAAAAAAGTATATCACATTTTTTGGAGCCAGATCACAATTCAGATTCATGTACACTTTGTATTTTCCCATTTGTTTTTAAGTGATGAATAAGTTTTAAAAAAAAATACTTCTTCTGAAAAATGTACACTCACTCAGACCCATGAATCACGATATGATGACGGGGATGTTACTGTTTTGCCTGGAATTTCCACAGGATGAAATTAAATTCTATCTATCTTCATTGAGAGAGGCAGCCAACAGTAAAAATACTGTACAAGTTTTTCAAAGGTAGCAAGTTTCATGTCATTCTGTGGAACTTTCCAGGCAAAGCATTCATCTCTACGGAGACAAACAGATTTATTTAAACTGACCTTGTCCTTGTCGTACTCTGGGATACAGGGGTAGGTGTAAATGTTCACATCGTCTGGAGCCAAGATCTTTGCGTGGATCGCTGTGCTCTTCCCGTCCGTCTCATTTGGATGTTTAATGATGTCGATTTTCACTGGAAGCTGAACACAAGATACAAAGGAATAATATTTCTATGATTTATGAGGCAAAACAATCTTTTGACAAGTTTACAAAAAGCGCTGACTAATCAACTAGTGAAATAACCGTTAGCTGATGACATGAGATTTTAGATAACAAAAACTGTCTAACTAGTTTAGCTGTGAACATACTTTTGTTCTTGTTTTATGGGTTTTGATCACATTGAATAATAAACACAATTCGTATCATGATGCACCGCTCCAGCTTTTTCAGTTCAGTGGGTTTATTATTTTTTATTATTATTATTTATTATTATTTACCATTTGCTGATGCCAAATATCAACCAAAACCAGTTCAAAGAGTGAAAACAGTATTTATTTTATTCAAACAAATCTAACTAAAATAAAACAAAACTGATCCAAATAAGTTGTGACTGTTATTTATCCCTCAAGTAACTACAGAACGACAATAAAAGTTACATATGAAATCAAATAAAAGTTTAAATATTGTGAGACTTTCTGGGCAGACTACGACCAGTAAATAGTCTTATTACATCAGTTCATATGTCCAACCAGAATATTGTCTGAACCGATATTTGGAAGCCGATATCCAATCCAGTATTGGATTCAGCACCAATATCTGATACCAGAATAGTATTGGTGCGTCCGTAACTACACTTGTTTCATAAATCTCTATATAAAAATTCAAACCACAGCACTGACATTTTGCTATTACATCTGAAGGCCTCTTTTACATCATCGTGTAAGCCCTAACCTTGGCCTGTCACGATAATTACTAAACTGACATATCATTCAATATATGAAAGCTGGAATAACAATTTTTCGTGTGTACATTTTCTTGGCATTACTGGGAGTTTTATTGGGTTTTTTTGGTTATATGATAGGATTTGAGATGTGAAAGGTTGAATTTATAACTTCTGTGACTCTTTACAGATGCAAACTAAGTATTTAATTGTTTCATTCTGATGTTTATTGCAGCTCATGTTTCTTTTAACAACATTTTGACCAGTTTATGTGGTTAAATTTAAATCTGCTCCTGGGTTTTTGTGTCAGTAGCATTTCTAGTTAAAATATTATAATTTATTTTATTCAATTTTTACTTCAGCAATACTTTATTATCATGACAGGCCTACTTCACAGCAATGCCATTTTGCTCTTTCATCTGAAGATATCTTTTACGTCATCGGATAAGTCCTAACCTCTTTGTTTTTATTTTATTTTTGCTTATGGATCTGTGCTAAGTATGAGTGGGTATGAGTGCAATGTGTGGTTGGTGTTTGTTGAAGCCTGACTTCCCTGGGTTTGTCAATAATAAATCAAATAAAAATAAATACATAAAAAAAACATAAATAAATAATAAAAATAAATAAATAATAATAATAAAAAAATTATAAATAAGCAAGCCCTAACCTTTCACTCACCTTCACCTGCAAACTAAGTATTTAAGTGTTTCATTTTGCTATTTATTGCAACTCATATTTCTTTTAACAATATTGTGCATTTAGAATAGTTTTTGTGGTTTAAATCTACTCTTGGGTTTTTGTGTCAGTGGCATTTCTAGTTAAAATATTATCATTTGTTTTATTCTATTTTTACTTCAGCAATACATCACACTTTGTTATCGTGACGGGCATACATCACAGTGTTGCCATTTTGCTATTACATCTGAAGATCTCTTTTACGTCATCGGGTAAGTCCTAACCTCTGTGGTTTTTATTGTTTTTGATTTATTATTAATACAATCTCTCCTTATGGATCTGTGTTAAGTGATGTGTAGGTTGAGTTTGTTGAAGCCTGACTTGCCTGGGTTTGTCAGTAATAAATAAAAAAATAAAAAGAAATACACAGAAAAGCCCTGACCTCTCACTCACCTTCACCCGGGGAACATCTTGTGGACTGACTCCCACCGGGGAACAGCACGTGTAGCAAAAGAACATCCGTGATCCCCCACATTTCGCACATTTCAACCTGCCTTTCTCTTGCGCTCGCTCCAAAACTTCGTGTGATGCCAATTTTAAACTTTGGAGAGGCTGTTTGGCGGATTCAACCACGTCTGTCGAATTAGAAGACAATGTTGTTTTGTCAAGGCAACTGGGATGGAAACTCTGGTCCTGATCCAATACACTCATACTTCTCCTCCTTCGCTTCTTTGTGTGTAGCTTTTTAAAAAACTTTGACAAGCCAAAAGTTGGAGTTAAGAAAACCAGACGCTCATTGCTGGAAAAGAATGACAAAACAAAAGAGGCAAGTTATTAGAAGATAAAATTAATGATTGTGACATGGACCTAGCCTGGAGTGGTAGTGTGGAAAGTACACAAATGGACTGCGCTTGATAAAAGCAAGACATTGTTTGATAATGGAGATTTCAGCAATGTTATAAATATTACAAAATTAGATTACATAGCGTTGGTGAAACATTAATATTAACATTAGAAGGTGGACAGAAAAGACCAAGAATAATATGTGAATCAACTGTAATTAACCCTATAATTTGAACATTTATTTCTGTGTCCCTTTTTTCAACCATGTGATTATAATAAAGATCTGGAAGCGGTAACCCTGATATGTATTGTAAAAAATAATAATAATAGTCTGAAATGTATCAATATAAGTTTATGGACCAAAAGTACAAACAAACTTGCATGTGGTGTTTCAACTTTGAAATGGCTATATAATAGGGCTGCTCGATTATGCAAAAAATCATTATCACGATTATTTTGGTCAATATTGAAATCACAATTATTGAAACGATTTTTTTTTATTTTAAATTTTTTTTGTTACACGAAGCATTTATTCAGAGTTTCTCTCTCTCAAAAAAAAACCCCCCACTTTGTTATTGATAATTTGCACAAAACCTTAAAATGGAAAATAAATATAGGCTACAAATATGAACCTTAGAGAAGTTTTGTGATGTATAAAACATGAAATTAAAAAAATATACTTTGAACATGAAATAAGGCATAGAAAAACATAAATGTATCCAAAATAAACTACATATCCAGTTATTGTACAATCTCTATATTTTAAAAAAAAAATTAATAAATACACTTATTTGTATAAAAAAAAAATCACAAGATAACGTTAAGCTTATCATTCGATTATTTGAGTTTGGAGATCATTTGACACACAAATCAAAATCACAATCAAAATTCGATTTATTGCACAGCCTTAGTCTATAATACGCCTTTTTCTGCATCTTTTTTTTGCCTTTTCTAATCTATGTTATAATGTTGTATCCTCATCAAACACATACCTCGAGTTTTGTTTTGTTTCATTCATAAATGTTTAAACACACAAACCCTGCATATTTACGCCAAGTTCTTTCCTCAAACAAACAAAAAATATACATACACTTTCACGAGAATCACTTGAATGATTCCAGCCCTGGAATTGCCAGTCTCTTATGAACTAAACTAATCTACCACTATATTACATCACAAGGTGGAATAAAGCATTTTGACCTTTGGAAACACAGCCAAACAAAGCAGGATTACTGTATGAATGAAACAAAACATCAGCAACTCTTTGTTTTACTCTGGGCATTATAACACGACTAAAAGCTCACAAGTATCCATTTTGTGTAATAGAAGACCTTTAATACACTGTTCATACATGCCACGTGTTTTATAGAAAATCAGCAGCAGGGAAGATAAAAAATAAATAACATTACTTAGCTAATTTAATCTAGTATTAATAAAATATCTCTTCATTTCTGTCCACAACCTTCTTTAAATTCTACAAAACACACGTACCACAACAAGGAAACAACAATGTGTCTATTATACACTTAAGATTAGTTAATTTAGACTTATATTAGCAAATACTGAGCTAAAATACCAAACATAAATTAAAGAATTATTAGCTAGCATCTGCAACTTAGCTTTACAACAAAAACAACGACGCAATCTCACGTTTGTCCAAAATTCAGACAGGATTTGTGCGAGTTCGTTTTGTTTGCAGTAATAAAAATAGATCTACGCGCGTAAAAGGTTTAGAAAATGCTTTAAAATACCTGAATGAAAGGTAAACACAGCACGGCTTCCTCCACATGTGTGCAAAAGGCTTCTTCTACAAATGCGGAAACGCTGCAGTCTGCGGAAGAAACAGCGCCACCTCTGACCGTACCGTCGTTTGTGCAAGATTAAGGGTAAGATTTGTGATAAAACTATAATTAAATGTGCAAAATTATAACCTTTCTTACCACAAAATATGTTTTTATTTATCTTTTTTATTTTTTTATTTCTAGGGTTAAAATTAATGTAAACAAACAAATTCGGAATTAAACCAGGTAGCTGCTTTGCTTTGGCCACGTGGATATTAACATTTTTAATTTAGCTAATTGTAAGCTAAAGAGAAGATAGAAAATAAATCAACACAAAATTAAAGCTATTTATACTAAACTGCACTTCACACTAACCCGAATCCATAAAATAGTACATTTGGACATTGTTTTGATTTATTTATCGATGTATTTATTTATTAAAGGGCCAGTATTTAGGGTGACTAGATGTTAAAAAAAACAAAAAACTGTGACATCCCAGGTTTAGGTTGGTTGTTAATAATAAAATTGTGAAACCAGTGTGTAATTAAGGAAAATTGTTACGCACATGGCAGTAATGTGAGTCAGTATAGTCGCATTTTCTTTGTGTTTTTGTTATTTTTAAGCAGCTTTTCTGTATTTTACCTAAGCAAATGACAATTTATGCCTCACTTCACTGTTGGTAGGTATCACATTGGTCAAAAATAGGGACACCTGGTGCATTTCTGGTATAAAAATGGGACAAATCACTGGTTTTGGATAAATGTGGGACAGGTGACACGGCTCAAAACTGGGACTGTTCCAGGTAAATAGGGACGTCTGCTATTTTTATGATCAATGATATAATGTTGTTTCCTCATTGAAGACATACCAGGAGATGTGTTTTGATTCATTTACACTTCTAAATAAAAGGTAAAAGGTAGCTCTTAATTTCAAAACTTTGCTTTGGAGATGTAGAGGGATTAATACTATATTAATACTATATATTTCTGTACTGTCAAAACCAAGCTGTACACTGAAGAAAGTGGAGGCCTAATATACTTAAAACTTATGCTTAATATTGTACTAATGTATCAAATAGAAAAATAATTTGATGAATTGTACAGCTCTACCTATATATTAAAATATAACATAAACACTGTCTACCTCCTCTAGACTATGGGGGACACTGAGATACTGTAATATTCCTTCTTGTATAACCAAAATCAATTTATCTATATCAACTTTAGATCCAAACCCCAGGGTAGTTCAAGGTAAACTGTCCAACATTAATTTGCATTTGTCAGTTTCATGGCCGCGGGCTGTTCTGATGAAACACAGGGAAAGATACCTGAGCTGTCACACTTTTTATGGAGCTGGAGATCGCATGCAGACTCACACTGCAAACAGATGTGTATCAAATCAGACCAGCGTCCGTCCGTGATATCTGACCCAAAACAATCAAAAAACTGCCAAAGTGGGGTCCAGTGATCGAAATGTAGACAATTCATATTAGTAACATCAATCTGACGTTTCCCAGGCGATACTCAAAATAAAGCATGCCATGGTGGTTAGGCACTGCTTTTCAAACAATGGACTGGGGAATTTCAGCTCACGTTTGAAAGGATGTTACCTGAAAACTAAATCTAAGTTACAAATGCACCTATCAAAATAACACAGTTTAAAATACGATATAGTGCTGAAGTAAATATAGATGATAAATGATAATACCGAAAGGCATGAGAAAATCTGTGTATCATTCGTTCACTCGTTTTCAATATAAAACCAAAAATAATAAAATGAAAAAACAAGTATTTTCTTCATTATTTGTCTCCAAAACCAAAATGAAAAAATGGATAATGGATAACGGATATTTTTTCAGTTTTCAATTTTGCATTTAAATGAAAAAAGGAAAAAAATTGAAAAAACAGATAACGTCCGTTTCCCGTTTCCGTGGCTTAATGTGATGCCAGACTGAGCCAGGACTGAACCAGGACTGAAACAGGTCTAAATCAAGATTGAACCAGGACTAAACTGATCTCAGTCCCGGTCTGGTCCCGGTCTCAATCTTGGTGTCAGTTCTGATCCTGTTCTCGGTCTCAATCCTGGTCTCAGTTCTGATCTCGGTCCCAGTCTGATCCCAGTCTCAGTCCCGGTCTGGTCCCGGTCTCAGTCACCGTCGCAGTCCTGGTCCTATTCCCAGTTCAGTCCTGGTCTCAGTCCTGGTCCTGGTCTAGTTCCAATCTCAGTCCTGGTTTAGACCTGGTTTACTCCTGGTTCAGTCCTCTCTCAGTTCGGAATCATAGTTTAAGTCATGAAAATGGGAAACGGCCATTATCCGTTTTTTCCATTTTTCATTTAAAGACAAAATTGAAAACTGAAAAAAAACCAAAAACGAATCATTATCCTTTGTTTCAGTTTGATTTTGGAGACAAATAATGAAGAAAATTGTTGTTTTTTCATTTTCTTATTTTTGGTTTTATATTGAAAAACGAATAAACAAATGATACATGGTTTCAAGAAACCTAAAGCATGATTATCCATGAAAAAACTATTCTATATGTACTGTATGTAGTGTAAACGAAACACTTAATGAGTTTTCAGTTATTTATTCAATCTTCTAAAATTCAACTCTCATTATCATACAGAAAAACAACAAAAAGTTCCTCACTAGTGCGAGGAAAAGTACCTATGATAAATATTGACCCCAGACAATAATTATTCCATATATCCATTCATTTACTGAGCTATAAGTTGATGTAGTAATTATCGTGGCAGTAGCTCATTACTAGATTGGTAGAAGGGTTAGGCAATGTTTTCCTCATCTGTTTTTGGGATTTAGTTTGGTACATTTTTATTTGGGAAATTTGTTCTAAATTCATTAACACATTCCATTCCTCAGAGCCACTGGACTAGAACAACCCAATCCAAATCCAAATCCATCCAGACAAAGAGAAAGAGAAATCAAACTACACAGTGAATTCAACATCACAGCATCTTCCATCAGGGATCAGCTCGAGGTAAGAGTTCTGGATTGGGATGGGACTTTAAGGAATACTATAATTAATAGGACTGAGTATCATTAAGTTTAACATACACTTTATTAATGGCAAAAGGAGACATTTGGTTTGTCAGACGCTGTGTACACTTCCTTATATCTGTCTGAAGGGAGGAGCTAACTACACTGAAACTACTCTGAAGCTAACACATCTACTTGTTTACAGTTTCTTTTAGTTAACTTGGGCTATTGATCTGGCACTGAGACTAGGGTTTTATTAGTGTAATCATTCAGGGCCATAATGAAGCTTTCACACCGCTGGGCCTGACCTGGCTATCCCTATTGTTTTCTTTGCTTGTTTTGATTTAGGTTTGAGGACGTAGTTGTAAATAGGAGATAGATGGTGTCTGAGTCCCCCAATTCTGTTCAAAGATGGATTGTTTTTCCTTACAAAAATAGCTTCTTTAACTCTTTAACTAAAATAACGGTCACATTTTTATACATTTACATCAAGAACCACTCACATGTTCATACACAAGTGTACATAAGGACACAACGGCAGTATTTATCTTGAATCACCTGTAAGTCTGTGAATCTGACCGTTCTACTAATGATCTTTATGTCAAGAGCGAGATTCGAACCACCAACCTTCAGATCAGAGGACAAGCAGTCAACCACCTGAGCTGGTACTTTCAGAGTCATTCATCAGGTGTAATGAGTAATTATACACGGTGAGTCCTGAGACTGCACTGTAGAAGGTTAGGCAACCCAACACAGCTTTATTTTTATTTATTTATTTTTGGACTTGTGGTTTTAGAAAGATATCACAGAATAAGCCCTGGTCATAAACAAAATGATTAGGTGTTGATCGTGTGCTGGGTGATGTTGCGTGTGATGCTGTGACTTGTATCTTGTCAATATCAAACATTCACACCTTACTGCAATTATCAGGCCATACCGCAGTCATTATGTTTAATTGTGATAATGGTTCCCAGTCACCTGTATGAAAACACATGGATCAGATCTCACTGTCACTTTGCACTAAGGTTTGACATTGTTATTGTCTGTTCAGATAATGACCGCACACAGAGACGAGACCTCCTGGAAAACAAATCAGTGTCTGCTGAAGTGTCCATGCAGCGCCAAACAAGTCATGTGACTAATTGGCAGAAAGTTTCTCTCAGGAAAATGAGAGATTTTTTGTGATTTGTTTTAGCAAGACAGGCAAAAATATACATACTTGAACTTAGGGATGGGCATTCGATGAAATTTTCTTAATCGATCGTTGGAAGAATTAACGATCGATTATCGATTAATCATTAACGTTTTTATATTAAAATTATCATCATTATTATTACTATCTGCACTACTAATCTGCATAAATAAATTCAACTTTACGACATATAAACCGTAACGACTCTAGAGCCACATCAATCCGTTTGAGGTTATAATGTGTTTAATTCAGTTTTGCGCAACTCTCACAGAAACGAAACTTAAAACCGCATCGCTAATTTGCATAAACTCAGCGAAGATAAAACTACAGCTCTTGTGTCGCTGATGCGGTCAATTTCTGTCGGATTAAAAGACATGACTCAGTGGAATACAGGTTAGTGTGGCCATATTTGCGTTTGTCAAAACCAGGACACCGTACAGGAGGAGGGAGGTGGGGACTCGTCATCGACATTGCGCGACTCTCACCTGGTAAAGCTGTTTCATACTGGACACTGAAACATATGTTCTTGCTTTGTACACTGTGCACATGGACTCACACTCCCGAACGCAACGGAAAGCGTGGAATTTCTTGTACAAATCATCGTTAAATACGCATTTGTGCTTCGGTACGCTGCAGACTGACCGACTGTTTGTGTTTGCTCGCTCCTTCTGAGTGCAGAGAGCTACATGTACGGACCCCTGTTTGGTCACGCTACGCACAGCAACCTACATTCGGTTTGTCGATTAAAATTAACGTAATCGATGAAATTCTTAATGATCAATTATCGATTAATCATGCCCATCCCTACTTGAACTATTTCTCAGCCAAAAACCTTTCTAAATTTTACAGCTTTATTGATGAGTAAACCTTTTTAAGTAGAGAAGTATTATTGTGTCCTTGGGCTAGACACTTCACTCATCCTCTGAGTATGTTTGTGTGACAAGTGGTTGCTGTAGTGGAAGCTTAGGGTGCACGATGGCTGCCATGTCTCTGTCAGTTTGTCCCAGAAAGCACCACTGAGGAGCGCTCCAGGTGGTGCATGTCAAGATGTTAGTTGGCGACTAATCAGAGAGCAGCATTGACATTGGTGCTGAAGCCAAAGGTGAAGCACTGAAACGAGCCAAAACAAACAAGTCTTACAATATCGTCATGGCATAAACCTCACGGTACAATACTTTTTGCGATATCCTGGGAAAGCTCACGATTTGGTGGTGAGACTCACGATTAGGGATGTAGCAATATCCACATTTCTCTGTGCGATATTTTCACAATATACATCTCACGGTACGATATTTATTGTGATATTTGTGGAGGTTAACAAAACTGTTAATATGCAACTTTTTCCTCTTGAAATGCCTTGACAAGACTTAATCCAAATAACTAAGACTCAAAAGTGTTTATAAAAAATATATATATATATATAAACCGTTTATAGTCTACACAGAAATGGAGCAAAGGATCATAGTCTATGTAGTTCTCTCTGTATTTTTTTTAGCTATTGCCGCACCATAACTCTTGATTTAAGCAAAGAGACTTGTAATTCGATATTGTGATGGCCCACGATATTATTGTGAGAACTTTGACGATACGAAATCACGATATTTCGGTTATTGTTACAACTCTACTATTTAGTTTGTAAAAAACGCTTTGTGCATTTGTGGACAGGAAAGATACCTGTGTTTTTCTCTCAACTGGATGTAACAAAGGTTAGATTTTTTGGCTTGTTCTGCTGTTATTAAGCTTCAACCAATCAGATTCAAATAGTTATCCTGACATTCATGTTTTCTGATCTCTTTCAGTGGGAGCCATTCCAGATTGATAATGTGTAGAACTCAATTCAGAGTGGCACTCATATCAACAATACAAGTAAATTTTGTGTTTTCCCCCAAAGATTATTTAGTAAATCTGTCTCTAGATAATTATATTATAGTAGAATTTTTTTGTTCCTTATCAACCTAGTAAAGTAAGAGCCAAAAGCAGCGTTCTGATGTGCTGTGCTTGGGTGGTCCAGCTCAGTTTCACTTCATTTCGACAGTTTCATCATCTGAAAAAAGCTGTTCTAAAGCTGTTTTTATGCATGCAGTTTGTGAGTCCTAAGACCAGTCAGACCACCTTTCTCCTTCTTCTGTGGTGTGAAAATACATTGCCTCAGCTTTAATGCATAATTAATGAGTTTACAGATTGCTTATTGTTAAATCTTAAAGCTGTACAGACATGCAGAAATGACAAAATTCTGTTTTACGCCGCTGTTCTGCTTTGAACCTGTTGAACTGTGTCTTATTCGAGACTTAAAAGCTGCTCATCTGCAGAGGCCAGTTTGATCTAATCTTTCCAACTTTTATTATTGGATTTTCTTTGTCTTTCCTGCCTGGTTTTCCTTGTGCGTCTCGTATCGGTGGAGGTGTGAGAGAGGTCCTGACCTGGTGTCGTGAGACCTGGGGTTTCCGTGCTCAAGTCGAACACAAACACAGAACTCCCCTCTTGCATAACCGCACATTTCCTCTGGGGAAATGAACTTTTATGGCCCTGAAATGTATCAACTCCAGCCGCTTACACCCTCCTCTCTTCTCTTCTCTTCTCTTCTCTTCTCTTCTCTTCTCTTTCTTCCTCTCCCTCTCTTGTTTCTCTCTCTTCTTCCTCCACTTCCCCTCTTGCCTCATTCTCTTCTTCCTCTTGTCCTCTCCCTCCTCTTCCCCCTCCCCTCCTCCTCCTCCTCCTCCTCCTCCTCCTTCTGCCCTGGGACCACCCCCTCCATCACACGAGACTCCCCAGCCGCCCTCCTGTTCAACTTCAGGTCCCTGCGAAAGTCCTGCTTTGTGCCAGACCCCCCCAAGCCCCCCTCACTGTCGACTGAACCCCCCCGTCCCTCCCTCCTTTGTTAGCTCATAATATGGGACACATGTGGATCTCTGTCTACGCTAACGCTAATTCACGGCTGCTGTTTTAAAACAATGCAGCGAACACTAAATCCTTGTTATGGACACATTATTCACTCAGGGGGCCTGGGTTGTTGCTCAGTACAATTTGTAGCTGTCCAAAAAGAAATATTGGGAGAATTGATCACTTTTGGGGGCTAAAGCTAAAACATTCAAGGGTGAAATATTACTGGTATGTTTTCATAACCAGACATATGCTAAGCTAGAAGAATTACTGCAAAGTAATAAATACGTAGTTGTAGAGTAGTGAAATCAACAATGAGAGCGATGACCTTATCCTGCAGCGTTAGTGGTCCTATATATTATGCTATATATTATTCTAGACTAAGTGTTTCCAATTAATATAAGAGACTACGGGGGCCCCACATTATCTGTATATATAAATCGACACTGCTAATACATAGATAGTGAACATTAGGGCTGGGTATCATTAAGAAGTTGCCGATACGATACATACCGCGATACATAGGCCACGATACAACACATGTCTCATACATTTACAGATACAGTGAACTTTCGATTTGATACGATATATTTTAAATCAATTCGATACGGTTCAGTAAAAAAATAAAGGCTAAATCTTGGCTCTGATACTAAAAGTCTTGTGCGAAGTGAATATAAAAAAACACACACATTTTAATCATCAAAACAGTGAAAATGTCAAATGTGTTGCATAAACAAGCTTCCTTTCACTAAACAAGCAGCAAAACTGTAGCCCTGTAACAAAATAATTTAGTAAAATATGCCAAAAAAATGCTCTTGGCGATATATCGATGCAGCAGGCCACGATATCGATACTGAATCATCACATTAAACAATATGATATATGTCGATATTTCAATATTTTTGCAGAAAAATATCGTCCCTCTCTCC